TAGTAGAAAATAACCCCAAACACACCAGAATAAATTTGCACATTAAAAAGTTTTTATTTATACAGTGGATGAGTATAGATTGTACAAAGAAAGTGCAGATAACAGTACAGGCCTGTAAACGTCAAATACCATACCCATAACCACTATACATGCAGTAGTAAATGCTCAAAATAGAAATCCATGAACCCATAAGATAACAGCCATAATGACCCAAGAGCAGGAGATAATAGAACCCCAACGTTTCAGTGTCCCAGCCTTCCTCAGGGGGAATATTCCCCTTTTATTGTTATGGGTTTATGGGTTTCTATTTTGAGTGTAAACTTGAAAATAAATAAATAATATATCCCATACCCATAACCACTATAGATGCATTAGCAAGTGCTCAAAATAGAAACCCATAAACCCATAATAATAACAGGGGAATATTCCCCCTGAGGAAGGCTGTGACAGCGAAACGTTGGGGTTCTATTATCTCCTGCTCTTGGGTTATTATGGCTGTTATCTTATGGGTTTCTATTTTGAGCATTTACTACTGCATGTATAGTGGTTATTGGTGTGTTATTTGACATTTACAGGCCTGTACTGTTATCTGCACTTTATTTGTACAATCTATACTCATCCACTGTATAAATAAAAACTTTTTCCTGTGCAAATTTATTCTGGTGTGCTTGGGGTTATTTGCTACTAGTTATAGTATCCATAGCCTGTCCCTGCAGGCTTTTCACTGTAAAAGCTGCCTCTTCAGAGAAAAAGCAGTGTTTACATTGGTGCCTAAGAACACTTCTTGTGGCAGTAACTCAGACGGCCACTAGAGGTGCTGCCTAAGTCCAGTGCTGCACATTATGCAGCATTGGCATTCACCATCTCCATACTCTGCATGGAGACGCTGAACTTCCCCATACAGATGCCTTGATTCAATGCGTAGATGCAAATTGTCACAGAGTTTTGCTGCACATACAATAACCTTCCAATGCTTTCCTGTGGGAAAGCATTAGATTGGCTGAGATTATCAAGATTAATTATCTCAACCATGGAGGTGGAGCTAACAAGGGCCAGCTGCAGCCAGACCGGGACATGGGAGACAAGGTGAGTTAAATTACCTTTTTACTGAGGTCGACGGGGGCCAATACCTAAATAGCCACTTTGGGATTATAGTGTCAGGAATACATGTTTGTATTCCTAACACTACAGTGCTCCTTTAATAATACCAGCCTGTTCTGTGACAGAAACCTGTGGTGCATTGCAGAGGTGCAATGATTAGGTTACTTTTTTCTCTCACGGTTTCATGGTCCCAGCTCTAACTCATGTGTCAGCTGCGTATATAAAAATAATTCATTCTGTGTTTTGCTTTTTTGTTTTGTCTACTATTTCAACGTTCCCCCAAATAATGGATAACAGAGAGTGGAGATAACATCATGGAAAAAGACTATGAAGAAACCTTCAATAATTACATTGCAGCGTGGAACTCTGGGTATAAAAGTATGTATTTCAGTTGGCCTAGTATTATATTATTCAGACTTAATTGTGAGTGAATTTGAAATGTGTTTATTTTATATAGGTAAACATAAAAAGCATAAACTCATCATTTTCTTCCAGTTTAATATGTATACTAAAATCGATATTTAATGATAGCCTTTCTTGAAAATTGGCTGTGCATATTTTTATAATGACACAGATTATGACCCTTGAATTGTGTGTAGAGCAATTTTGTTGAACTTATTTCTGAGCTGTATAAAGAGATTTATTATGTATTAATAGCATACATTTCTATACAGTCAAGATACTGTAGAAATCATGCTTGAAAAAAAAAAAAAAAGAAACTGGTACTTTTCTGCCACCTAGTGGCAGAATCCTATCCGTGAATTGAAGCTTGATATGCCACTTAAAGGCTCATTATAATGTCGGGAATACAAACATGTATTCCATGACACTATAGTGCTGATATGGCTGTTTAGGTTCCTGGCCCTGCTCTGATTGGGCTGAAAAAGTGTTTTTACTCTCTTTTTCTACCATGTCATGCTGATCTTGTCGCAGCTGACTCCTCCTTCATGACTGAGATAATCAATTCTGATGATCTCAGACTCTGTCAATAGGAAAGCATTGGAAGACTATAGTGCATGCGCAGCAAAACGCTGCGCCAATCAGCATCTCCTCTTAGAGATGCTTTGAATCAATGCATTTCCATGGGGAATTTTCAGCACCTATATTTAATTAGAGCTGTATTAAAACTGTTTAACTTAATATTGTTTTTGTTTATTTTGCACCATGGTTTGTAATGTAACGTAATGTGTCTGTAGTGTTAGACCTGATGTTGTGCTATTTTATGTTTGGATAAATATCGGAAAATAATTCTGTCTGATTAATGACTTGAATAATGTAATAGGATCCAGTACACTGCAAGATTTAAATGTGCTTTATTATTATCAGAAAAGAAACAGGGATAGGGCTAGATCTCTACAATTTATATAGCTTATATAGCTTATAGCTTACAAAACAAATACAGTTTATGTATACATTTATGTTGTATCCAAGCATGTATTGGTTCGGATAAATAATGACCTGTTATCTTCTTTGTTTCTATTTTAGTCCAAAAGGAATATCAAAGATTTCATGGTTAATGACAAGATGATCTTTCAAAGACGAACAAAAAGTACCGAATACAAAACTCAGTAGACAAGCCAAGGTTTATTATTTAAATTGTAGAAAAGACGCCGAAGGATCAAATACTTTTGTGAATCTACTTCTAAAGAACACAGAATCAGAAAATTTTACAGACAATTATTTTGCCACAGAAACCTACTCTGTTTGCAGAATAGCAATGTTCCTCTGTCGACGTTATACTCAGAGTTCATGGATTCAGCACTTAATTTTAACATGGTTTGTCTTCATATATTTTTTTCCATGATCTCCACTGACAAACTATGTACAGAGAGCAGGGAGCAACTCGTTCCACTATTCCTGTAACATTCCACTTCTGACCAATGGTACCTTGCTACCTAATAAGTAATACGATCCCTTGCTCCCTCTGATTGCAATGGGAGCAATAAAACCAAATCTAAGACGCTAGACGTCTGCATGGAAGAGAACTTCAAGGTGAGGACCTAACACTGTTCATCTTTCTGAAACACGAGGCCATAGGACTCTGAAAGGCAGTGTGTTGACTGGCTGATTTATAAATCAAAATTAAAATACTAGCCAGGCATTTCTGTCAGCTATCAGTAAGCCATTACTTAGCCATGCAAATGGCAAACTCCATGTTCGTCCTTTTCCTTTCAGAGTAAGCTTTTATTTATTTATTTATTTATTTTTGGTTACTTTTTATTTTACGTTTATTTCAAAACAGCCTTAACCATTTCAGTTTAATTTAATCATATACCTCATATTTATTTTGCGCTCCAGGGTATTTATTGTGTATTATTTTTATATGTTTTCTTTTGAATTCTAATTAGCACATAGGGTATCTCTAGAAGCAATAGAGAGCAGACAAAGAGCACAAAATAATACAAGGTGTGGGGAGCATGGCATCCTCACTATCCTTTTCTGTAGACTGTGCAATTCAAGTCCTAAGCCATTGCCAGTGGGCATGCTCAGAGAGATAACAAGCTCTTCACAAGCAAAATTCTCTTATTTCTGAAGCATGTTACCATACGGAATAAGTCATCTATACCTTGAACTACTCAACTATTGTAAAGTTGCTCCTGTGTTCGCTTATTGTTGGGCCTTCCCTGTTCTATTGAGCATGCTCAAAGCTGTGAGTCTCATTGGTCAATCCATTGGCGCTTCCATTAATTTTGGGTTGCAGCAACCAATTATCATGTCTAATTGTCTATGCAACAAATCACAAATTTTGGGGAGGGCGGGCAATACCATGTTCATATTGACAACATTTCAATGTTATGTATAAGAATTTATTTGAATATGTGCTATTGAGAAACTGGATTGATATGTTTTTTTATCTAACTCCTGTGTGTATGATGTTTCCAAGTTAGTGGCATGTTTGACTTTTTTAAAGACACATTGCCAAAGGCTAGCAGCCATATAGCCTGTAAGATTTGTCTTTTGTCCTACTGCATGGCTTGCTACTAAAGTAATTTGCACGGTTTCATCTCATTTTGATAATTGCAGCTTCTTGTTGGGCACATTTTCAAATCTTTGTTTCTCCCATGTAGATTTCACTTTTTTTAAAAAACAAAAACAAAACAACAACTAAATCTGTGCACTCAATGTTTTTGATGTGAACAAAAGCTATGATGAATGGGTAAAATAATGTGATATCGAATGTTGGAATGCAGTCTCCTATAGAAATTTTTGTAAGATTTGCCTAAATAATGTTTTGGTAATCTGTTAACTGTTTGGGTTCCACGATGTTAAAACCCTCTGGCTTCCAAATAGTTAAAAATTATTTTGCTGAGTGTATTTCATCTTTCCTACTTAATAATAACCACCGTATTATTATGCATAAATGTAAAGATTTTGTGTTATGTTACTAGGAAACGTTTCCTACATTGCTCTATTCTCCATCCTTAGAAAGTTGTTTTTCTTTTCCCGAGACACTGTTTGCGTTATATAAAGCAAATTTGGGTAAAACTTCTAAATATGCAGAAATTATCTTTACAACCAATAAATAAATTCTATTGACTGTCTTAGTTTTAGTACTTTTACACAGAACTGCTTTATTTATAATTAACAGTGTCTAATATAGAGTATATGTCTTAGTCTCATAATGTGCAATTTTGTCAGGTGTATTCGCACACTTATGTTTCTTAAAGTTAAAAAAAATTTAAAATTATATATATATATATATATTTTTTTTTTTCCCAGGGACCATTATTTGTTAATTTATAAATATTCTATACTAGTTTCAAATAACGGAATTAAATGTTTCATCCCATAAAACACAAAGTATATTGTACAAAAATATAAATAGATATAATATAATTAATATATATAAAAATATATTAAGCAAATGGTAACTATTAGAGCAAGACCTGATTCTATATCTAAAATGTAAGCATTTTGCAAAGATGGTATTTGGTCATTTTATTTTCTTGCAAAGAAAAAAACCCAACAATTTATAGTGTGAATATAGGAGCCTGCTATTATTATATTAAACAGCGTCTAAACATTAAGTTGTTACTAATGACACAGATATAATAGTATCATTGTAGAAAACTCTCAAAACATAGGATTATATATTTATTAAATTATTTATGGAGAAATACTGATTGCAGAGAGATATGTAATTGTATACTGAATTATCAGTGTAAGCATACACAAAAGAAAAAAAAACATTTTATCTGTTGCTCTTGAATGTAGCTTTTAAGGATATGTTTTAAATGCTGAGTGAATTTTTATAAGCATTATGTTGCAGAAAATGCCATGCATGAGTCAGATACGTGTTACTCAGAATGATACAATCCATGGCTTTTATATATATATATATATATATACTTAAATATTGGATATAAGAAGCTGCTTTGGGAATTTCAATTTCCAAAAACAGAAGAACACAAGCAAGATTCAGTGCACAGAACGTTAATGCAACCCTGTGTAATGATCTGCATAGGCTTCAGGATACTTTGCATTTGAGGTGAATCTGTATCACTGACTGTCTTACTCATACTGTCCATGGCACTATCTTCTGCTATTATTGTATATAGTTGTACAGCGTGTAAATGTGTATGTGTTATAAGTGATGCAAGATAAACTACAACGAACAATCCAGCATGACAACCAATAGCCATGTGTGCTGGTGTGTCATCCGTCTTATCAGTACATCTGCCAACCTTAAGCTTTTTATGTGTATATATGTATGTGTATATGTATATATATATATATATATAATATATATGTGTGTATATATATATATATATGTATATATATATATATATATATATAGGAAATGAAAGAAGTTATATCCATGTAGACAGATACAAGTTAATATCGTGGATGATTTGTGAGACATTTGTAATGAAGCTCAGAAATGTTTGGTCTCAGAGTTGTTCACATTAAAGATGAGATTAAAAAAATATTAAGCGGGTCAACCCACCGTAAATTATTTATTTATTTAATTTGGGGCGGGAGAAAGAGAGATAGATGGTAGGATCTGGGGGTGGGAGGGTAAATGCTGAAAAGCATGGTAAGGTTATGTATAAAATAATAAATTATATTTAAAAAAAAAAAAAAAAGATAAAGTTTACAGTTGTAAGTGCAATGATCCGAATCCTGTATATGAGCATTGTAATTTGTGTCTGTCCTGCTGTGCCCTTTATGAAATTGTAGTATTTTAATGTGTCACATCATGTACTGTGATTCAGTAATCAGTTGATTTTCCTCCCGTTACAAGATATTTCTGTGACAGAAGAATAAAAAGGACTTGATATGAGTGTGTCATGACTCCAGATTTATCTTTTTTAATTATTTTGGTCTGCGTTGATTTCTGTGTTGAAAAATTAGAAAGAAATTACAGATTTGTTTTTTTTGCAGAATTTAAAAAAAAAAAATACATCTACAGCAGTAATTACAAAAGAATGGTATTATTTTTAATATGTGTGTGTATATATATATATATATATATATATATATATATTAGTGGTGTAGTGCAATTGGTAAAGTTTTGCAGTAAAAGAATGAGCTATAGTGTGTTGGCATGGTGATTTTACACTTTCACGTTACCAATTTTGTCCATCCTGGTTGACAGTGATTGACTGATACCACTGGTCTCACAGCACTCTTCGCAGTCCAGGTTGGATGTGTTAATATTCTTGTAATTTCTCACATTGATTACTGCAATTCTCTACTAATTTTTCTCTCCAGAAACCATACTGCGTATTTACAGTCCATAATGTATACTTCTGCCTGATGATTTTTTTTCTCTTGTTGCTCCTCTTACATGTCACCTCTCTGTCAATTGTTACATTGGCTTCCATCTTATAAGATGCAATTCCACATATTATCTCTTACCGACTGTTCCTGTCAAAATTTGTAATAATTCGTCTCATGTGTTGTTAAATATCCCCTCCCTTTATATTATTGTAAAGAGATGCAGAATAAGTTGGTGCTATATACATGCCAATAATAATACTATGTAAATACTGTATGTGCAGCATTTATTTTTATTATTATAATTTTTATTAGCATTTATAAAGCACCAACATTTTCCGCAGCATGTTACATTTGTACAGTGAAGATATATAATAAGTAATTGACGGATGAAAATAATGTTGACAGACACAAGTAGTGAAGAAGTCCCTACTCAAACAAGCTTATACATACTGGAAATGTGGCCTCCACCAAAGGTTGCAAATGTAGCTCCTCCATCAGCAAATGATGTGGGTTCTCAACAACTCTAAGCAGAACTGTAAGACTGGATTTTAAACAGGTCTCTCACACTGCCATGGACTTGTCACCAAATCTCTGCTTTCCTGCTCATCTCCCTTAGATCTGGGAAAAGGCCTGTTAGAAATAACACACACAGGACAACGCAATGTATTTCAATCAAGCCTTTTCATTTTCTCCTTCACAGCAAAGGTCATGTATAGATTATTAGTCTAGAGTGTTACACTTTATTCAGCCAATCGCAGATTGGCACAGTTATCTTTTCAAACCAAGTGATTCTAACACATCACTTATAATTCTGTATGTTAGGGGTCGATAAGCAAGCTTGCACAGCATAACGCAGGGTGTGGTGGAATACTTGTTTTTCAGGCAGGGAAGAAGCCCCTACTAAACATTTTAAAACATTTCACTCATACAGCTAAAAAGTTTCCCATGTACATTTCCCAAAACCATATAAGAGGTAGAAGAAGTAGTCTACTTATTCATTTCTTAAGATAACAAGACTACAGCAACAGTAAATATTAAATCTATACCTACTGGCAGATAATGTATCATTTAATATTTTGTGGGTGACAGGTTAAATCTGTAACCGTAGGTGGTTCCCCTATTAACCACTATAATGTCTTAAAGCATAGAATTTAGCAGGGCTAGCCATAATTTTATATAGTGAGTAAGAGACTGTTTAAAATATGTAAATAATTGAGAATACAATACAATTTAAAATAAGGATTGTCTTGGAAGCAATACAGTTTTCTCTTTTAGATATTTTATTAAATAAAAATATAAATATAGACATATAAAATCCATTACAATAATTTATAGCAGAGTTTATAAGATTAAACTATATGCTTGCAATATCATTAATAGAATAACATACCCTCCTGAACATGTCATCATGTCAGCCTCTATGTCATTATAAGATGGAGCAGCGTCTGTCTCCAAATCTCTCCTCTCTGTGTTCTCTAATATTTTAAAGTACACCTATTTATACCTTGGATGTCTTCATTTTAGGGTTGCTGTAGTTCATATATGAAAAAGTAACACTTTTGTTTTTGTTTATTCTAGGGACCTCCCTTAACTTGGCAAAAATACAAGGTCATAACGAAAACATAAGGGTGCACACATCATGGGAAATTCCCTGACTTAGGACAAGATGGCATTTTAAAATCTGAACATCTTTATCTATTTAGGGTTACTGCAGTATATTATATACTGAAAGAGTCATAGCATAGCCTTGAAGCTTGTTTATGCATTATTGTTATTGTATGTTGTCTGGGACAAAATGGCGTAAACATATTATGCACTGAAAGTAGGTAAAAGGTTATTGCTTAAAGAAACATGTATGAAAAACAATATGTTCCATTTCTAACACCGTATCAGTTTGCAATATCTCTTAAAGACAAAGTACACAGTTTGAGAAATAAAATATTTGCATTTTGCCCATAACACCCTCTCCATTAAACTGTGGGCATTGTATATCATTTCTTCCTTAAATTAGTAAACCAAAGTTCTCCAACAGTCTTTAGGTTTTTATGCTCCCAGCATCTTTAAAAATTGTTTTAACAGTAAAACATCCGTAGTGTGATCTTTGCATGTAAAATCTGTGGAAAAATATTTACATTTGTTATACTTTGTATAATAATATTGGATGAAATAGTAACATAGTTAATCATTCTAGTGTTTTTTGTTTTGTTTGTTTTTTTAGAGATAAACACACTTATATATGATGTAGATATATAAGGATAATTTGAAGCAGCAAAGTATTTACCGCCTTTGTTCACAGTGGTATGTAAAATTACTTTCTCTTTAAATGTTAAAAATACTCTTTTATTCAAAATCTCAATCTGTTTAGAATAGTTGCTAATTGGAAACATGACATTTATTCATCTTTTTTGTCCTGTTAGGGAGAAGACAACTTATTCCCTAAGTTACAATTAGTAAATATAACAACTACAGTTATTAGTGGCTTAAAATACCTGAAACACCCAAAAAGTGTCTTAAATTTTTTTTTTTCCCAGATCTGACAGCCATTGTGGAAATCACTTTCGTGAGATTGGATGCTTTACAATGTGAATCTTATTTGTTTAAGTATATTTTCTAGCGGCTGTTTGGTGGAGCTTAAGATGATTTGAATTTTTTATAATTTAAAGTGAGTTAAGAAACCACTCAGATACAAGATTGAAGGTATTTATATTTTAACTCTACCTTTGTATATGTGGTTTTAACAAATTATTTAAAATAAAATAATAATAGGTATCAGAATCTATTGTAACTATAACTGCTTGAAGTGGGGGTATGTTACAATCAGAATATGAATTAATAATCATATGTAGGATGTATTGATTAACCAATCAATATATGTGGCAGGATTATTACCACAAGGTATATGTACCTTTAATCATCACAAACCAAATAAAATTTTCTTGGTATTTGAAAAATAAAATATTTGATCATATGTATTTTAATATACATACTTATAGTGGTATGGATGTTGAATTTATATCTTTGACATCTTTTCACCTGTTTGCAATAGGTGACCTAAGTTATCAATTTCCAAATTTTACCACATGGCAGGAAGCTTCATATTTTGCATTAACTTTCTTTACTAACTCCATAGCAGGAAAACAGGTGAAATAAAGAACCAAACAGGACACAGTCAGAGTGTATATAAGTGAAAGCATATCCAGAGCACTTCCTCTTTCTTTGCTGCTCCATCACAAGTCAGGTCACGGTACTTGGTCTATGCCTCGGTTTTAAAACTGTACTTATTGTATGTGATTACTATTTCCTTTCCTGTGGGAGTGGCTGGGGGCTATTCTTTATCTCCACCTCTCTAGTGGGGCTGTTTATTTCTCTAATTTGGGTTCTGTCCCCTCTCTTCCCTGAGGCAGCCTATTTCCCCCCCCCCCACCCCCGTGGCTACGTTCGCCACTTTCCTAGTTTTTCCTACGCCGTTCGCATTGACTTCAGTGCGTTCGAGCAGGGAACTCTGCTGATTCGTGCATTTAGGCACAAACGACCCGTCAGGTCAGGTAGTCCTTTCTGGGTGAGCCCCAGAATAAGGATGATGCAGAGACAATGGAAGCATCCGTTGCTCAGGACCAGGTGTTTTTTTTGGATGCTATGGGTCAGAGGATGTTCGACCCCAGGAACATCAGACATCCCCGCTTCGGGGAGTGGGCTCCACCAGAACACCTCCTTAAGTTTATACACTTTTGGATGCTAAAGCCCCTGGACAAACTTGTTCACAAGTGGATGTACCGGTTCAAGGAAGGGAGGTTGGTCAAGACACCCTGATCTGTCGACTACTACAAAGCATCAAACTCAGACGTCCTCCAGCCCCCAAATATCAGCATCTATGGGATGTGGACGTAGTCACATTCAGTAGTTCACGACAAACCAAATCGGATTCGTCGTCGGAATTCTACCCGTTTTTCGCCACTCAACTATGCGTGGGTACGGCATTGCGGGTTTATGCG